GAAAACGTGAGGTACATATAAAACATTATTTAGCGCTTCAATGGTTAGTTAATACATATTCACATTTACTATGTAAAAATGAAAAATATAAGCATCTGTGTCAAATTAACACTGATCAACGCATATACCATGTTTCAGTATCGGGTAAACGTTTGAAGAATTCCAGGTTAGCATTAGCTGCAGGTTCGGCAGCTGATGGCGATCGAAGTTTGATCAAGTTCGAGGAGGTCCTGAACAGCTAGCTATTTTGATGTGGCCGAAAAACAGGACAATGATACAAGCTGTTTAGGCTGTGGTAGAGAACATAGGATGTGCTAGGGATGTTTCATGCTAGGTGGTTGAGTTTCCATGGTAGCGTTAAGTCAGTCGAAGACAACTACCAGGGTTTTGCTACTGTCTTTCTTGAAGACAATTCGGCAAATGATCTCGTGCATAAGCCCAGCACTATGTTCGAGTTCCTCTACAAGGCTTATTTTCTCGCGGATATGCTAAAAAAACTTGTCTGTCCTTTGTAAGGTATACCAAAGGTTTTCAATCGATTTCTCGGGGATGAGCCCCCTCCCTCATTCTTCTGTTGAGGTAATTCAGAAGATTTGGGATAGGAAGTCTGGTGAGAATACGGTACGGTTTTATAAGTAAGTTTGCTCTTTGGACCAAATGTAGATGGCGCAGGATTGTTCACTTTTGATATAAGAGGTGAGGTCAGACCATTAAGGACAGTAATGCTTAAAGGAGGAAGGATGCTTGTTCGATCCAGCTTTCTGTAAGTCATATATGTCTGAGCAGATTTTGATAATGTTTTGCCGTATATCGGTAGTTGTGACATAGTATAAGAAGTCGAACGTGAGAAATAAAGTGATGGGTGGCCGTTCACCAAGGTTCAAGCTGGACCAAGCATCCAATACTTTCATTATTTAGGTGACACTTTTCTTTCTTTATAATTTTAACCTCGTATCAACAGCTAATGTCATTTAGAGACGTGCCTACATGTATGTTGTGTTTGCGTGCATGTGGTTACGTTGGTGTATTTGCCTCCGTGTGATAATGCGGATCTGATGCCGACTTTATTTCACTGGAATACCATGCCAAAGGCACACAGCTGTCAAACATAGTTCAGAAGGTCATTACATGCAGGGATAGTTCTCCCAAGTCTAACCTGTAAACCTTGCAGTTGGGAGAGAAGATTCGGTCGTAAGAACTTCGTTAGGACAGACTTCAGGTACAGCCGAGCCCTATACAGTCGCGGAACCTCGTGAGAAGCGCATTTCATGGTGGTGAAATGGACTTTGCTGCTGCTTTTCAAGGAGTGTCTCGCAGCCAAGCAGCGTCGTATCCTGAAACCTCGGTAACAGGAAAGATTAAAGTGAACTGAACGATATCCAGTAACTTCTTTTATTTTCAACTGTAAACTGTGCAGTAATGTAGTATGTTAATTGTCGGAAATATAAAAGACTTTTTTATTTGTGATGTGATCTATATATTCACTTTAGAAAGTAATAAACATTTAACGTCCTCACGTTTTGAACTGGTTCACCCGTTGTCAGTATAAAGTGACCGGGCGGATTGCTGTGCTGGGTGTCTTCGGCATGGTATTTCAGTGAGATAGCACTATAAAGTCGGTATCATAGTCCGCGCTATCACAAAGAGGCAAATACACCAACAAACCATGTCTCACATACACACACATACAACAAACATGGAGGCACGTCCTTAAATGACCTTAGCTGTTTATAGGGCGTAGGACCCTGATAACTTACCAACCAACTTCACGTTTTGTGATATGGACACTGCTCATTAATAACGCCATTACTTTGTAATAGACTGTTGATTTAGTATTTATTCTCGTTTTCCATATGTTATTGGTGATAGAATGGACAATCCTTAAAGTGATGGACAAGTTTAAATTCTGTGATACCGTATATAATCGTTGTTCATTTCAGATGTTTTTCTTTGATGTATCCGTATGCATATGACTTTTTTCCTTTTACTATATATGCAATCATCTTATCATTGATAGATAAAGTAGCTAAATAATTATGTGTTTTTTACATAGCTTAAAAGTAGTTGCTGATAAGCGGGAAAATGTATTAATTTTAGCTAAGCGTAATGTGATATCAGCGAAATGAAATTTAGCAGATGTCTACATGCTAAATATATAGTATATGTAGTGTTTTATTTTGTTTGTTTGTTTGTTTTTTAACGCTACTTTAAAATTTGCTTTCATTTGGATTTTAATAAGTTATAGCGTTTTTGTAGAGTGTACCATCGTATGATATCACAAACGTATGAAGCACGATCAGTTGACGGATACATAGGCTCGATCTACTGACAAAACGAAAGTAAAAGATAGGTAGGTTCACTCATACACGTAGCTAACCTTCAATGTCATGAATAAATTTCTCAGCAAAATTGCTGTAGCCTTTCTTCTGTTGTGCCCTTGGAAGCTTTGTCGACGAATTAGTCCAACTTTCTATTGATGATATTGCCATTAACGGGAATCTTGGACCAGGAGCTGTCAGAAGGATCCATTCTCACTGTCATTTTTCTCCGCCCTCAGACTCTTTTTAGATTCAAGATGGCCGCCGCGTGAGAAAAGGGTATAGATGGCGTTGTACGATCTATCTGCGCTACCGGTAAAAGTTCCTATATATATAATAGGACTGTTGTCACAATTAAATGTCCGGGTTCAGTACCCACGATTGAAGTCCCTTAGAAATATAGGTACTTTAGTAAAGAAAACAAAAAAACTATGCCTTTTAGTACTTGGTGTTTGTGTAAAAGTTTGGTGTTAAAATACTGTAGAGATATTAATTTAACTATCTTTTGGTGCAGGGTGCTGTGTGAAAAGTCCTGTGTTTACCTCTACCCCTGACCCGGAAGTTTTATTTTTGACATTGATGACACTAGTCTCGTTCAAGAAAAAGGCCAACATGCTATGTTGAAATTTTGATATTTTACTCCCAAGTTGTTGCTATTGACCAGGTTAGAGGGAAAGTTGGCTATCAAATATTGGGAATTTGTTATGAAATTAAATGTTACAATGAAACATATAGTAAAATTAATTGTGGTCTTAGTCCATATAAATGTGAATAGCGTGGCCTAAGGGACGCAACTATTACTTTTGAAAAGACTATGGAATAGAAAGGTTTTGACTTTCCAAGCTCGGATTGAAGTGCCTCCATTTCAGAAATAGAGTACGCGTGTGTGTTTTTCTTATTGTGTATCTTTTATTTGTGTGTCCAATATTTATATATATATATATATAACTGTGAATGTATTCACTGTCTATAGCTTAGTTTGTATGCCAAGTCATAGCATGTAAGTGCTGGATTAGTCATTCATTACATATAATTCATATAGTTAAAATTGTAGCCGAATACAATTTATGGTAAAGTATAGCAATTTGCTAATTTATATAATGATAGGATTTATTATAAACGTTATTCCTTCGGTATAGAAGGAGTGATAAATCGTGTTAATTTGACAAGGATAATGAAGTGTATATCTATGTACATATATATCAATCATATGTTTTATGTACTGGCTTGTGTTCACTGTCAGACCGTCTGTTCCGCTTTGTCTGTCTGTCAATATGGATCGGAGTAAAAGAAAAATTATGGAAGCAAGCAAAAATACTCAACACTCGAGTTGTGCAATAACCCAACCATTACTGTAATAACACATTCCTTAATGCAATTACCCAACCGTCACTGTAGTAACCCAATTTTGTAATAAACCTATCTTAACTGTAATAACCCTATCTTAACTGTAATAATCCTATCTTAACTGTAATAATTCAATCATAAATAATAAAATCATATTTATGTATCGCTGTTTCTCTCTTTGACGTTCAACAGTAGAAAGGTGGCGTTTAGGGTTGGTTATTCAGTTGTTAGTATAATGAAGCCGGTGGAGTTATAACAATTTTATTAGTTGGTACTTTGATGTGACCACTCAATGACCCCTCAGTGACCCATACAGTGACCCCTCAGTGACCCCTCAATGACCCCCTCAGTGACCTCAACAGTGACCCCACAGTGACCCCACAGAAACCCCGCAGTTACCCCTGAGTGACCATTCAGTGATCCCCACAATGACCCCTCAGTAACCCCGCAGTGACCCCTCAGTGACCCCCACAGTGACCTCACAGCGACCCTTCAGTGACCCCTCAGTGACCCCACAGTGACCCTTAGTGACCCCTCAATGACCGCCACAGTGACCCCTCAGCGACCCCCACAGCGACCCCTCAGTGATCCCTCAGTGACCCTACAGTGACCCCATTTGTGACCCCCACCAGTGACCCTTCAGTAACCGTTAGTGACCCCTCAGTGACCCCCATAGTGACCCCTATAGTGACCCCTCAGTGACCCAACAGTGATCCCTCAGTGACCCAGACAATGACCCCTCAGTGACCCCCACAGTGACCCCCTCATTGACCTCCACAGTGACCCCCTCAGTGACCCACAAGTGATTCCAAAGTTACCTCCACAGTGACCCCCTCAGTGACCCCATCAGTAACCCCATCAGTGACCCCCCAGTGACCCCATCAGTAACCCCACAGTGACCCCATCAGTAACCCCACAGTGACCCCCTCAGTGACCCCCTCAGTGATTCCAAAGTTACCCCCACAGTGACCCCATCAGTAACCCCACAGTGACCCTGTCATCCTTAGACGCCGCGGGACGTAAATTACCAAACAAACAAAACTCAACTTTAGGTTTGATAACAAAAAAATCATGTAATACTTTAATATATAGTATATTGATTCACCTGTATTGAATTACACAACCCTTAATGAAATAGCACACTCTTTGTTCCATAACACATCCTTTAAGTAATAACTAAGTCCATAGTTTAATAACTTATAATGATTGCATCAAAACATATTTATTTTTTATTAGTGATTTCAGAATTGTGTACGACCTCCCAAACAGAACGTATGGTATCCCTACTCTCTGACTAACATCAACAGTATATGAAGACAGAAGAGTCTACAGTATTGTCAGTTGATTTTCACGGCCTTGAATTTATAGTCAGGCGGGCCTGTTAATATGCCATTGGACGGTGCGCCAGCTGGCATTTTGTCGGGTTTTTCCGGAAGTAGTTCGAATCTCTGTATCAGTGTTGTCAGAAACAGAAACAATTCCAGCCTCGCCAGCGATTCACCCAGACATATCCGACGTCCTGAAAGTATAACGTGGTCAATATCTTTAATGGTGTATTAACAAACACAGAATTCTGAAATTTAAAACGTTGGGCTTCTCTATTCCGAAATAATTATCTCCCCTTCTTTTTTTTATCATTATCATGATATCAAGGTGATGCGGATTTAATATTCCTGCTATGCTGACTAAAAATTTAACTTGCACAATTGAGAGAACATCGTTGATGATTAAATTAATTAATTTAACAATATAGTTGTTTCCGGTTGCGTTGCGGATCGAACTTGTATTGTACGATACACGTGAGGTGCATGACTTAATCAATTACAGCAAGTATGTTTCTACCACAGGGACCTAATAGTTTATTACAGCTATATATGGACCTAAACTGAGGTGTTCAGAGAAGTTTCACCCGTTTATACTGAAAGTGGATTTGAACAATTTTCGGTAAAAAATTGAGGTGTCTTTTTTAAACGAAAATTGATCTAAACCCCTAAACGTGTAAAAAACGACTCTGAACGTATAAGTTTAAGTCCAAATACAGCTGTAACAAATCCTCAGGTCCCTGTGTTTTTTTTACCTAACCTGATGTGAAGGGGGAAAGGGGGAAATATTGGATGTGTTCAGGGTTTACATCCTCACACAGTAGATTTAACCGAGTGTTTATCTAAACCCTCAAACAGCCTATTGACACGACTTAGATATCAGAGCGGGTCCAAATATATTCGTCGTAAATTGGTTCACAAATTTCTTTTGCCGAAATAGAGTATGGTCAAAGCCAGTAATTTACCTAGAGAAAACGCAAACACATATTTTTCTTTTCCGTTCAATTTTCCATCTTCGCCTAAAAATCGGTCTGGATTAAACTTTGTGGGTTCCTTGAACACGTTTGGGTCGAAATGAACTGAGTCCAAATTGGGTATAATTGTCGATCCTTTGGGAATGGTCATCCCCATTAATTCTACATCCTTTGATGCCCCGTGGGGAACGCTGAACGTGGGGAATCTTAGGGCCTCTGTAATCACTGCTTCGTAATAAGGCATATTTTCTTTGTCGCTGAGAGTCGGAAACCTGGACGGACCAATGACATTGTCGATCTCCCCGCGAAGTCTGTCCTGGATGTCCGTATGGTAGATCAGCTGTAGAATTGTCCAGCGTATCGTCGTGGCGGTGGTCTCCGTCCCAGCCACAAATAAATTGAGGATTGTAGCTTGTAAATTAAAATCTGTAAATCAGAAATTAATTTGTTTTAAAGCAAAAAGCAATTGAGGTACGAATAAAAATTCCTCGAATGTAGATGCTATAAGTATCAAATCAATATTACCATTTACATAATTATGATATCATTAAATGTTAATATCACTATACCACGAGGTATCGGACTGAAATAATTTTTTTCCTAATATGCAATAGAGATTTGGAAAATATAATGAACATATCAATTATATTTGACTAACGTGGTACAAGTGGTCAGGTAAGCTAGAATTCATCTGTTACTTGGAGGCCATTGATTTCGGTTTGGTTTGTTTGTGTTTTACGTCCTATTAACAGCTATGGTCATTTAAGGACATGCTAGGTGGTGGTGGTGGAAGAAAGCCGATTGATATTTTCTGACTAATTTAAAATCCAAGATGGCCGTCTCGTTGCATTGCTATGACTCTTTTAAGATTGTTTTCCTAGTCTAGATAATTATACAAAGGATAAAATTAAGAACACATACCTTCAAAAACTGCACTACCAGGTTCTTGTCTTTCCTGCTCCTTCAAAAAAGCGTCGATAAAGTCTCTTGGATTGCTTGGATTAAAAGTGTTTGTATGATCAGTAATTTGCTGTTGCATATAATCCGATATTTCATAGAAATTATCACGAACTCTTTTGATCTTGAAGAAATCACCGGGTAGGAATCTTAGCCACGACATATTCCGAGAAGCACTACCAGTTTGGTTCAAACGAAATGTTTCTTCTAGGAGATCAACAAGTTGATAGAACTTGGTATCCCTGTGCTCGAATCTTTTACCAAACACTATGCTGCAGATAATATTTGAAATACTTATTTGAATAACGTGCTTCGGGTCGTAAACTTTCCCGCTGTTGTTTCCCATCACCTCTAGAAACGCCTGAACTTCTTCCATGACACGCGCTTCCAAAGACTTCTTTCCAAATCCGAATTCGCGCAAGGTGGTCAAGGCGAAAGTCCGAGTGTGTTTCCAGTGCTGTCCGGATGACATGACTATCCCTGAAATTTTAAACATTACACTGTCATGATGTATGGCTGATATATGTCTCTGACGGCACAAGAGTCACAAAAACGTTTGTATATTCTACAGTTCAGTGAAGGAAGCTTGGAACTAGCACGCTTTGACTATTTTCTCGCGATCATTTGTACGTTTTGTGTTCCAGTAACGAATAACATATAATTTTACATATTATCCTGTTATGTAGCGGCGAATCCGTACGTAGAAAGACTCATTTCATCTCAACTCCAACTAGGGGTCGACAGGTCGTACATGTAGCATAATTACACAGAAAACGGAGAATGGAGAAAAGGTCTGGAGCAATCAAATCCAAAATATCTACATTGCATATATGTAGTGTAGCTACCTCGGGTCAACTCTCTCCTCTATGAACTGTGACTACCCAAGACCGCCTCGCCCCTTTATGTACAGTGGTTACCTCAGGTCACATCTCCCCTCTATTTACTATGGTTGTATCAGGTCACATCTCCCCTCTATGTACTGTGGCTACCTCAGGTCACTTCTCCCCTCTTTGTACTGTGGCTACCTCAGGTAACCTCTCCCCTCTATGTACTGTGGCTACCTCAGGTCACATCTCCACTCTATATACTGTGGCTACCTCAAGTCACATCTCACCTCTATGTACTATGGCTAGCTCAATACAGCTTTCCCCTCTATGTACTGTGGCTACCTCAGGTCACCTCTCCTCTCTATGTACTGTGGCTACCTCAGGTCACATCTCCCCTCTATGTTCTGTGACAACCTCAGATCACATCTCCCCTCTATGTACTGTGGCTACCTCAGGTCACATCTCCCCTCTATGTACTGTGGCTACCTCAGGTCACATCTCTACTCTATGTACTGAGGCTACCTCAGGTCACATCTCCCCTCTATGTACTATGGCTACCTCAGGTCGCCTCTCCCCTCTATGTATTGTGGCTACCTCAGGTCACATTTCCCCACTATGTACTGTGACTACCTTAGGTCACATCTCCCCTATATGTACTGTGGCTACCTCAGGTCACATCTCACCTCTATGTACTGTGGCTACCTCCGGTCACATCTACCATCTATGTACTGTGACTACCTCAGGTCACATCTCCCCTATATGTACTGTGGCTACCTCAGGTCACCTCTCCCCTCTATGTACTGTGGCTACCTCCGGTCACATCTACCATCTATGTACTGTGACTACCTCAGGTCACATCTCCCCTCTATGTACTGTGGCCAGCTCAGGTCTCATCTCCCCTCTATGTACTGTGGCTGCCTCAGGTCACTTCTCCCCTCTTTGTACTGTGGCTACCTCAGGTCACCTCTCCCCTCTATGTACTGTGGCTACTTCAGGTCACATCTCCCCTCTATGTACTGTTACTACCTCAGGTCACCTCTCACCTCTATGTACTTTGACTACCTCGGGTCACCTCTGCCCATTATGTACTGTGGTTTCTTGAGATAATATCACCCCACAATATACTATACCTTATTTAACTTTTCCCCACTATGTTATGTAGCTACTGGTATTTTCCTGCGGTTCGCAGTAAAAGCAGGAAATATATGTCTGTTCGTATTCGCTAGGAGCTGTAATCTGATTGGCTGGGGGTAACGAGGTGCTGTTGCACGTGCAGGTGACGGTATAGGGTGGGAGAGTGTGAAAGAGGGTCATTCTAGCCTGTTGAACCTGACCCAGACGGTTGGGTTTCTATACAGTAAGAAGATGGAGCCGGCGGTAGCGCAAGCTATGAAGGTAGCATAGACAAACATGGCGGAGAATTTGGAGCGTATAATGACAACAAAGTTAGACGGTTTTCAGCAACATATAGCAGATTCTCAGAGAGTTTTGAGCGAGGTACAGTTGGCGAAGTTTGAGACAATGACAAAGGACTCGTACAAGTTTATTAAAAAAGGTAATGAAGAACAGCACAAAGCTAATACAAAGGTGAGGCAGAGGCGAATGTTGAACTCTAAAGGAGCATGCCTGGAAGGGCATAGAGTGCAGTGGCACACGGACAACCAGAATGTTGTCAAGATTGTTAAGAAAGGCAGTAGAAAGCCAGGTCTGCATGAAATTGCAGTCGACATATATAATACATGTGAAGAGAAAGGTATTTGTATCAAACCATTTTGGGTTAGGAGAGATAGAAATGTGACAGCTGATGAATTGAGCAGAGTCAGAGATAGTGATGATTTAGGTGGCTAGAGGCAATTTGGGGAACTCACACATGCGACTGGTTTGCAAATAATTTGAATACCAAATGTGTGTGTTTTAATTCAAGGTGGGGGTACCTGGTACAAGGGGGATTGATGCATTTGAACAGCCATGGGGTTCTGGAGTGAGTCTATGGGTTCCTCCTCCAAGACTGATTTGTAAAACAGTAAAGAAGGCTGTAGATGAGAAAGCAAGGGGAACTTTGATAATTCCATTGTGGAAATCCACACCGTTTTGGCCAAAAATTCATAGCAAAAATGGTTTTAAGGATTTTGTGAAAGAATTCAAAGTATTGGACTCTAGTATTGTTAAAAAGGGGCTTGGAAAGAATGGTATTTTTGGGGACAGGAAGACGAGATTTAAAATGGTGGCATTGCGTATCATAGCATAAATGATTGTATGTTTGCAGGCCTAGGGATCCAGGAGGCTATACATACTGAAGTGTCAAATGGAGGATGTTTGACGGGGAACATAAGGAACCTGGCGGAGAGTATGTCTCCACATTTAGTTAAATCCAGAAGTGACAGCACAAATTCAAAATATTATAGAGATTCTCAAAAGTGGGAAAGATTTATCACAGCAGAAGGTGCATGTGCTATTCCAGGACAACCTATCCATGTGGCTTTATACATCACAAAGTTGCTGAACGATCATGTTTCATTCACATCTATACAGGGTGCATTCTACGCCATAAAGTGGGCACACAAGTTACGAGGATTAATGGATCCAACTGACAATCATTTTGTGTCCGGCATTTTGGAGTCCGCCAAGAGACAGAACAGTGTACCAGTTAAGAAGAAAGACATTATTTCCACAGAAAATATCATTGATTTATGTAAGAAGTATGAAAGTTCGAGAGATTTACTTGTACTTAGGGATCTATCCATGATTACTTTGGGTTATGCAGGATTTTTAAGGTTCAATGAGGTGAGCAGTTTGAGAGGTACAGATGTCAATTTTTCAGAAAAGTAAGACCGACCAGTACAGGTAGGGTAACAAGATCCTGGTAGCAGAAGGGGTCACAGTAGCTTGTCCATGTAAGATGCTAAGAAAGTATATTGAAGTAGCAGATATAGATTCAAAGGAAAAAGATTTTTTATTTAAACCAGCTTACAGATCAGGTTCGAAGTGTGCACTGATACACAAGAGCAAGGCCATTAGTTATACCAGAGCAAGGGAGACAATTCTAGCAACACTAAAGGAAGTGTGTGGTGCACAGGCAAATTTAGGTTTGAGAGCCTCCAGGGCTTCCACAGTGGCTAGATCAACAGTTAACGAGAGGTGTTGGAAGAGACATGGTCGCTGGAGAAGCGACAGGTCTAAAGATGGTTACGTTGAGGATTCTGTTGAGAAGCGGTTGGAGGTAACCAAGGGTTTAAATTTGTAGCTATTTATTTTTTATTATTACATTATCAAAAATATACGAATCAGATAGAGCTAGTAGTCGGTCATTCAAATTTCCCGTTCTTTGATTTTTCTAGCAGTGCTTCTGTGTGACAGGCAATCGCAGGTATGGTGTTGTTGGTTTATTGTAAGGTAGGACACGGTAAGGTTAATTAAGTAACAGTGTAGAACAGACTGGTATTTTCCTGCGGTTCGCAGTAAAAGCAGGAAATATATGTCTGTTCGTATTCGCTAGGAGCTGTAATCTGATTGGCTGGGTGTAACGAGGTGCTGTTGCACGTGCAGGTGACGGTATAGGATGGGAGAGTGTGAAAGCGGGTCATTCTAGCCTGTTGAACCTGACCAAGACGGTTTGGTTTCTTTCATTAATATTTTTCAGCAAATATTATAAATAGTATTAATATTTTAATACTTGTAGTGTATAGGATGAGTACAGATGCACGGATAGTTTGTTTCGAGAACTAGACTGCTTACTGTAGCGATAAATATTTTAATTACATTTTGTGTTTTTTGTCCATAAATCAAAGTTAACCGATTGCAGATATTTTAGAGAATAAGCTATCAGGATTTATATAGTGATAGGCGTCCACGGTTTTCCAGAGTTTTTGGACTCATGTAGTTTTCTCTCTGGTTTTTAGCCCAGGATGCATTTCAACCTACAAGGTGCATTTGCAAGGTTTAGTTGATAGGATTGTGCAAAGCGAAAGATATGCATGTATGGGATTTCAATGTGTATTAATTTGATGTGATCATGATTAAACGCCGCTCCAGTGCTTCTGTGTGACAGGCAATCGCAGGTATGGTGTTGTTGGTTTATTGTAAGGTAGGGCACAGTAAGGTTTATTAAGTGACAGTGTAGAACAGACTAGTATTTCAAGTCACCCCTTGTGTACTTTGGAAACCTCCGGTCACCTTCACCTCTGTGTACTATAACTACGCCAGGCCACTTCATCTATGTGTACTGTGTTAACCTAGTGTCCTATAACATAAGCTGACCAGTGACCATTTGACCGTCGATCTGTGGTGGTCCGATTTTATTTGGCTAAAGCAGTCAATGCCCTTTTCCTGTTATGCATTGGGCATTCATATTACTTACGAACCGCATTTAAAAGCAGTTTAATGCCTAATGTACATATTATATATACATATTAAACGTTTTAAAATATTCATTGGTTCGATAACGGAATTAAACGAAGATAGATGTACTGTGTTAACCTAGTGTCCTATAACATAAGCTGACCAGAGACCATTTGACCGTCGATCTGTGGTGGTCCGATTTTATTTGGCTAAAGCAGTCAATGCCCTTTTCCTGTTATGCATTGGGCATTCATATTACTTACGAACCGCATTTAAAAGCAGTTTAATGCCTAATGTACATATTATATATACATATTAAACGTTTTAAAATATTCATTGGTTCGATAACGGAATTAAACGAAGATAGACATGCGTGTACAACTTGTATATGTCCCGTCCTGTTCCTCGAGTAGCACTACATTTGCATGCATGTTGTTGTATTCGAAGAGAGATGTACCATCAGCGTATTTATCAAAACACCTGTGATGACATAGCGTGGCGTTAATAATTCAGAATGAATTCCGTTGAATCGTTGAGCAAGTATGATATACGAACTTTTTACAAGTTAAATTTAATCACATATGAAAATAGCGTACAACATACACGTATGGACTTTTATGATGGTAAATACTATGATATGAACCAGAGACAATTATAGTAACCTCGGCTTCGCCTCGCATATTTTGTCAGGTTCATTTCACTTCGTTTTCATCATTACAAAAGTCAGAAATGTCTGTATTACATTATATGCTTCAACCAAAAAGTAGACGAAATAAGATTTTTTTATTGAGATGGTTGCGACGCGAGGTTTTCTAATTTGTGTAACTTGTTAAACCAAGAAAAGCAATCAGGCTGACCAATGCGATGGGTTTGTTTTCAATACTGAATGGTTAAACAAAACCTTTTTAAAAAACAACTCTATTTCTGGTCAAAATGTAGGGGATTCTTCGATTCTAGGCGTTACATGTTCTAAAAACCGAAGTTCACAGGAAAACCGGGTTCAGTGGGTTTTGGAGAGATAGTCAAGCTGTACAACATCCCTCCGATGGAACTGCAACAAATTAATAACTACATACAATTGTGTACAAATATGTTTATGCATTTAGAAATGTCCTGCGATCAATTTGGCCTGATCGTCTTGACGTGATCAGTTCTCAAAAATCAAGTTCATCGGTTCTCCTGTGAACACCGTAACGTCACTTGTTGTAAGGATTCTCGTTTGCACTGACGACACAAACACTTAAGTATCTAAAATACATGGGAATATCTTTATATAGGTCAAAAATACCTAAAAATTCCGAATGTAAATCTAGCGGGCTTCATGGAATATTTATGTCACCGATTTGCATTCATACCAGCATGAATTTGAAAAAGGATGCCATTCAATCCGTATGTGGTACGTACCTTTGATATTTGGTGTTTTGGTTGTACACAGATGCGTACCTTTACGTTTCATGAGAGTGGCACCCCGGTATGTATCAGGCCTGTCAGAAAAGTCATCTGCCCGCTTTATTAATGCTTCTTTCAAAGCATCAACACCGTTTATAACGACCAATAAATTTCGCCCTAAAGTGAGACTGAACACATCTCCAAATTTAACCCGCAGTTTCCGGAAAGTGTCCTTGGGATTCTTTTTTCCACGGAAAAGTAGCATACTTCCCACTATGGGATACCCGGTCGGTCCTGGCGGGACGTTTGCTGGCCATTGCAAGGATCGACTGACCATTAAAATCAGTAGTACAGCTACAATAGCCACGGTCCACCGATTGCACGTAAACCAATCGAGCACCATTGTGGAAATGGAAGTATTAGAATGCTGTAGTCTGATGGCAGTGAGGTACGCTATGGTTTATATACATGATAAACACGCAGACCTGTACACAGTTTTTGACCGTCCCGGGCCTGTAGCTATGTAGGTCGTTACCACCAAGATTATTACCTATAACCATTCGGCTGACAACGTCTTTATATATCGCGTGTGGCAGTGTACCTAGTTTTTGAACCAGCCTGAATATGTTTACGTTATTCATCGGATATGCGTTAACTATCAACTGCATACGCATACGATTCGCTTTTAGACTTGTACTATAATATTCGTTTTCCGAAGAGTAACTTGTCAATGTGTATCATTTACATTTAAACTTGCTAATAAAACACAGCCTTAGGGTGGGATGTAAAGTTGTAGATACGCAAGGTTGTGTTTAAACAAAAGTCCTAGAAGATAATAAAATACTCCAGAGTAACAACATATTGTCAACACATGTACAGACATACAACGGCCTGACGTGCCCGTCATTAGCGATCCCACGGAATTAGATTAGGTTATCTAAGTCCGTGGCGATCCATAGTATGTTTTGTTTATAATAACTCAAAATTTGATATCCACAAAAAGATAGCATATATCGGAGGGATATAAATATAAATTTAAATTAAATAAAGATCGTAAAATGATATAGAGATTTATTGTATATCGATACCTATCGTATATATTGAAATGAAATAGAGAATGTATTAATAGAACAGCTATTCAACTGTTATTTACTGGTTTAAACGTCTCTGCTTAACATGGATTTAGGGTACCTTCAAAAAGGTTATATCTATTTCTAAATATAAACATTTTAGTATCGTAATGAATTTCCATGTTCTTGTATATTTGGTGCAGCCTATAGCAGCAATACACGAACGCGCATGTACGTGTATGTAAAATATCTTATTATGTAACTTATCATGTGTTCTTAACTCAATTAAGTAACGACTTTACATGTTGTTTACACATCAATGGTGTTATTTTGATTAATTGCATGGCTGGGTTGGTTTAATAAATGTTTTCGCATTGCCAACACTATACAGAGGAAGGTTCAAGTTCTTTATTTGCTGAAGTTTTACAACTTATGGCAATTACAGATAAGACAAAGACACTCACAAGGACACACTCACACTGACTCGCACACATCATCCTCGTCATCATCAAGGACACTCACACTAACTCGCACACATCATCATCATCATCATCATCATCATTTCATTACATCATTACATCATCATCATCATCATCATCATCATATCAGCAACAGCAATATTTCGTCATTCATCATACTCACATTCCAACTACACACGCCAGAACCTTTTTCACCCTCATTCACCCAGACAAGACAATATAATGGTATATCATGTATCTTAACATAAATCTGCTCTACGTTTAAACGCTAGTGATAAATACTTTCCTAAATTATTAAGTTCTTTTGTGTTTTCGGTTTTGAGTAATTGAACGAATTTAAACATACTAGGCCCTTTCAAATAATATTGCTTTATGAATTTAGACCGGAGGTCTGAAGAGCGATTACATTTAATTATAAAATGAAATTCATCTTCTATATTTTCTTCATTACATAAAAATACATTTTCTTTCTCCTAGGTATATCTCTGTAACGGCGGCCACGTTCAACTTCTTTAATCTCAACATTATTATAAAGCCATTTTTCTTTTGCTCTTATAAAACCACCATTTCTAAAAATAACTATTTTTGTTTTATCTACATTTAAAGTTAAGCTTCATTTTCTACAATAATCTGATAGTGTGATAATATTGTGTATTTTATCAACATTAAGTAATCTTTCATTTAAAATGGCAGTGAAATGTTTTCCAAAACAGCTTACTAATGTAATGCATCTGTAATTATCAGTTACATTCACATCCCCTTTCTAAAATAGTGGTATCATTGTTCCAATATTCCAATTATCTGGGAAAATTCCAGAACTAAATATTCCGTTAAAAAGCAATTTTGGACATGGTGCCAAATTGTCAATGTATCTTTACAAGTAACAAAATAAAGTGATAAAAGTGACGAAGAAAAATCTTCGACACTTTTATTTACACTATCCTAATACATATCCATATTTCTACATGTATGCATTAGGCTATCGGCATAATCATTGATTATTGTTTTAATTAACTCAAAATTTTCCGGATTCTATCGCGTTGAATAAAACAGCTCATTATCACCATGTATATTTTCTTTTATAATCTTAATATCTACCGTAAACACAAAAGGCGAATGGTCTGAAAAATGATTGAAATCTCCGCTTTTAAAATTTCCTATAATTTCGAAATTTGACTCATCAACAAGAACATAATCGATTAAACTTGTTCCCAAACTATTATAAAGTTAACACTGCCCTTATCGTCGCCCGGATGTCGCCAATTTACGATTCTCAAACCACTCGCTTTACATAAATTCAAAAGTTTTCTTCTCATTGTGTTTACAATTGTATCTGTACTTTTTTTTCAGTAACATTAATATCAGCTAGGTAATTAAAAGCATTCGATAAAACATGTAAAGGTAAACATTTAGTGAATTACACAACCCTTAATGAAATAGCACGCTCTTAGTTCAATAACACATCATTTACGTAATAACTTAGTCTATAGTTTAATAACTTAAATTGATTGCATCAAAACATATTTTTTTCATTAGTGATTTCAGAATTGCGTAGAATCTCACCAACAGAACGTATGGTATCCCTACTCTCTGACTAACATCAACATTGTATGAAGAGTCTACATTATTGTCAGTTGATTTTCAAGGCCTTGACTTTATAGTCAGGCGGACCTGATTGTATGCCTTTGGACGGTGGGCCAGCTGGCATTTTGTCCGGGTTTTCCGGAAGTAGTTCGAATCTCTGTATCAGTGTTGTCAGAAACAGAAACAGTTCCAGCCTCGCCAGTGATTCACCCAGACATATCCGACGTCCTGAAAGTATAACGTGGTCAATAGCTTTAATGGTGTATTAACAAACACAGCTACCAGACATTTAAGACGGTGGGCTTCTTTATTCTGAAATAATTATCTCCCCTTTATTTTTTTATTTTCATTATCATGATATCAAGGTGATACGGATTTAATATTCCTGCTATGCTGGCTAAAATTTAACTTGCACAATTGAGAGAACATCGTTGATGATTAAATTTATTAATTTAACAATATAGTTGTTTCCGGTTGCGTTGCGGATCCAACTTGTATATTGCTCGTAGGTAATACTTTGCCGGCATTTTTGACTAGTTCTTTCCATCGTGAAACAACTCGTCAATGGGTTTTTTATTTTTCAACTGGTAAGTGTAGTTTCTTCCCAATAATAAAACAAAATCACTCGTCACAACTCGACATAGTCCGTACCTTGAAGGGTACTGGATCACCCGAGATTAGCCGAATGAAAACAAAGTGTTGTTTTTAAAAGGACAAGGGAGGTAATTATATATTGTTGAATGTTTGGAGGATTATTAACATAACAATACACTGTATTATACGATACACGTGGGGTGCATGACATCCCAATCTTACCCGGTCCTATGGGATCTGAGAAATCAAATACAGCGAGTATGTTTCTATCTCAGGGACCTGCTAATTTATTACAGCTATATATGGACCTAAACTGAGGTGTTCAGACAAGTTTCATACGTTTATAATGTAAGTGGATTTGAACAATTTTCGGTAAAAATTGGAGGTGTCTTTTTTAAACGAAAATTGATCTAAATCCCTAAACGTGTAAAATAACTCTGAACATAGCAGTTTAAGTCCAAGTATAGCTGTAACAAATCCTCAGGTCCCTGTGTTTTTTTACCTAACCTGATGTGAAGGGGGAAAGGGGGAAATATTGGATGTGTTAAGGGTTTACATCCTCACACAGTAGATTTAACCGAGTGTTTATCTAAACCCTCAAACAGCCTATTGACACGACTTAGATATCAGAGCGGGTCCAAATATATTCGTCGTAAATTGGTTCACAAATTTCTTTTGCCGAAATAGAGTATGGTCAAAGCCAGCAACTTACCTAGAGAAAACGCAAACACATATTTTTCTTTTCCGTTCAATTTTCCGTCTTCGCCTAAAAATCGGTCCGGATTAAACTTTGTGGGTTCCTTGAACACGTTTGGGTCGAAATGAACTGAGTCCAAATTGGGTATAATTGTCGATCCTTTGGGAATGGTCATCCCCCTGAATTCTACGTCCTTTGATGCCCCGTGAGGGACGCTGAACGGGGCAATGTTTCCGAATCTTAGGGCCTCTGTAATCACTGCTTCGTAATAAGGCATATTTTCTTTGTCGCTGAGCGTCGGAAACCTCGACGGACCAATGACATTGTCGATCTCCCTGCGAAGTCTGTCCTGGATGTCCGTATGGTAGATCAGCTGTAGAATTGTCCAGCGTATCGTCGTGGCGGTGGTCTCCGTCCCAGCCACAAATAAATTGAAGATTGTAGCTTGTAAATTAAAATCTGTAAATAAGAAATTAATTTGTTTTAAAGCAAAAAACAATTGAGGTACGAATAAAAATTTCTCGAATGTAGATGCTATAAGTATCAAATCAATATTACCATTTACATAATTATGATATCATTAAATGTTAATATCACTATACCACGACGTATCGGACTGAAGGATCTTTTTCCAAATATGCAATAGAGATTTGGAAAATATAATGAACATATCAATTATATTTGACTAACGTGGTACAAGTGGTCAGGTAAGCTAGAATTCATCTGTTACTTGGAGGCCATTGATTTCGGTTTGGTTTGTTTGTGTTTCACGTCCTATTAACAGCTATGGTCATTTAAGGACATGCTAGGTTTTGGTGGTGGAGGAAAGCCGATTGATATTTTCTGACTAATTTAAAATCCAAGATGGCCGTCTCGTTGCATTGCTATGACTCTTTTAAGATTGTTTTCCTAGTCTAGATAATTATACAAAGGATAAAATTAAGAACACATACCTTCAAAAACTGCACTGCCGGGTTCTTGTCTTTCCTGCTCCTTGAGAAAAGCGTCGATAAAATCTCTTGGATTGCTTGGATCAAAAGTGTTTCTATGATCAGTAATTTGCTGTTGCATATAATCCGATATTTCATAGAAATTATCACGAACTCTTTTGATCTTGAAGAAATCACCGGGTAGGAATCTTAGCCACGACATATTCCGAGAAGCACTACCAGTTTGGTTCAAACGAAATGTTTCTTCTAGGAGATCAACAAGTTGATAGAACTTGGCATCCCTGTGCTCGAATCTTTTACCAAAAACTATGCTGCAGATAATATTTGAAATACTTATTTGAATTACGTGCTTCGGGTCGTAAACTTTCCCGCTGTTGTTTCCCATCACATCTAGAAACGCGTGAACTTCTTCCATGACACGCGCTTCCAAAGACTTCTTTCCAAATCCGAATTCGCGCAAGGTGGTCAAGGCGAAAGTCCGAGTGTGTTTCCAGTGCTGTCCGGATGACATGGCTACCCCTGAAAAATTAAACAGAACTTCTGTCATGAAAGTATGGCTAATATATATCTCTGACGGCACAAGAGTCACAAAAACGTTTGTATATTCTACAGTTCAGTGAAGGAAAGCTTGGAACTAGCACGCTTTGACTATTTTCTCGCGATCATTTGTACGTTTTGTGTTCCAGTACCGAATAAAATATAATTTTACATATTATTCTGTTATGTAGGGGCGAATCCGTACGCAGAAAGACTCACTTCGGCTCAACTCCAACTAGGGGTCGACAGGTCATACATGTAGCCTAATTACACAGAAAACGGAGAATGGAGCAAAAGGTCTGGAGCAATCAAATCCAAATTATCTACATTGCATATATGTAGTGTAGCTACCTCGGGTCAACTCTCTCCTCTATGAACTGTGACTACCCAAGACCTTCTCTCCCCTTTATGTACTGTTGTTACCTCAGGTCAATTCTCCCCTCTATTTATTGGGACTATCTTATGTGTCCTCTCCCCTCTATGTGCTGTGACTACCTCAGTTCACATCTCCCCTTTCTGTACTGTGACTACCTCATGTCACCTCTCCCCTCTATGTACTTGGACTTCTTAAGATTACCTCTCCTTCTATGTCCTGCGGCTACATCAGGTCACCTCTCCCCTCTATGTACTGTGACTACCTCAGGTCACCTCTCCCCTCTATTTACTGTGTCAACCTCTGGTCACCAATCCCCTCTATGTGTTGGGGCTACCTCATTTCACCTCACCCATTTAGGTATGTGACTACCTCAGGTCGCATCTCTATGTGCTGTTGCTACTTCAGGTTACCTCTCCCCTCTATGTACAGTGACAACCTAAGGTCACATCTCCCCTCTATGCACTGTGGTTACCTCAGGTCACATCTCCCCTCTATTAACTGTGACAACCTAAGGTCACATCTCCCCTCTATGTACTGTGGTTACCTCAGGTCACATCTCCCCTCTATGCACTATGACTACTTCAGGTCAGCTTTCTCTCTATGTACTGTGGCTACCTCATGTCAGCTTTACCCTCTATGTACTGTGACTACATCAAGTCACATCTCCCCTCTATGTACTATGGCTACCTCAGGTCAGCTTTCCCTCTACGTACTGTGACTACCTCAGGTCAGCTTTACCCTCTTTGTACTGTGGCTACATCAGGTCACCTCTCCCCTCTATGTACTTTGGCTACCTTAGGTCACATCTCCCCTCTATGCACTGTGGTTACCTAAGGTCACATCTCCCCTCTATGTACTGTGTTTACCTCAGGTCACATCTCCCCTCTATGTACTATGACTACTTCAGGTCAGCTTTCCCTCTATGTACTGTGGCTACCTCAGGTCAGCTTTACCCTCTATGTACTGTGACTACATCAAGTCACATCTCCCCTCTATGTACTATGGCTACTTCAGGTCAGCTTTCCCTCTATGTACTGTGGCTACCTCAGGTCAGCTTTCCCCTCTTTGTACTGTGGCTACATCAGGTCACCTCTCCCCTCTATGTACTTTGGCTACCTTAGGTCACATCTCCCCTCTATGTACTTGGACTACTTAAGATTACCTCTCCCTCTATGTTCTGCGGCTACATCAGGTCACCTCTTCCCTCTATGTACTGTGTCAACCTCAGGTCACCGATCCCCTCTATGTGTTGTGGCTACCTCATTTCACCTCACCCATTTAGGTCTGTGACTACCTCAGGTCGCATCTCTATGTGCTGTTGCTACTTCAGGTTACCTCTCCCCTCTAAATACTGTGGCTACCTCAGGTTACCTCTACCCTCTATGTACTGTGACTACCTCAGGTCAGCTTTCCCCTCTATGTACTGTGGCTACCTCAGGTCGCATCTCCCCTCTATGTACTGTGGCTACCTCAGGTCACATCTCCCCTCTATATACTGTGGCTACCTCAAGTCACATCTCCCCTCTATGTACTATGGCTACCTCATGTCAGCTTTCCCCTCTATGTACCTTGTCCCTGCGAACATGTATCTATCCTGAAAAATGGAAACTCGCTAATGTTATACCTATTTTCAAAGCTAGTGACAAGCATAGTGTATCTAATTATAGACCAATATCGTTGTTAAGTTGTGTGAGTAAAGTATTTGAGCGTGTAGTCTACAAACATATATACAATTTATTCAATCAAAACAATCTAATATATAAATTACAATCAGGATTCCTACCAAATCACTCTTGTACTCATCAACTTATAGAACTCTACCACTCTATGCTTTTATCCTTAGAAAGTCATGAACATGTAGCATTTATTTTCTGTGACTTTTCTAAAGCCTTCGATAGAGTTTGGCATAAAGGTCTTATTTATAAACTGAAACAACATGGACTGTCAGGAAATATACTTAATTGGATAACAAATTATTTGTCATGCAGAAAACAGTCTGTCTATGTAAATAGTTCTCGTCCTTAAAAACAGTCAATGCTGGTGTCCCTCAGGGATCTGTTCTAGGGCCTTTCTTTTTCCTCGTTTATATAAATGATATATCTATTGAACTCACATCATTGTCTCGTCTCTTTGCCAACGACACGTCATTATCATACTCTTCACAAACTCTAGATGATATTGTACATGTGGTAAACAACGACTTACAAACTCTAGAAAAATGGTCAAAAGATTGGCTAATGTCGTTCAATCCTAAGAAGACGGAAATTATGTTAGTATCCTTTTCAAATCTACCCTATCAACCTCTGTTTACGTTCAATAACATCCCTATTGAAATAACCGATCAACATAAGCACCTAGGTGTATTACTAAGTAGAGATGCCAAGTGGTCCAAACATATAGATGAAATTATCAAGAACGTATCAAAATACACAGCAACACTTCTCAAATTGAAATTTATACTTAATAGGGATAACTTAGAGAAATTGTATTTAACATATATTAGACCAATATTAGAGTATGGCTGTGAGGTATAGGATAACTGTGGTGCTATCAATTCAAATAATCTTGAAAAACTACAACTAGATGCGGCCTGTATTGTCACAGGATTACCAATGTACACAAAAAAAAGAATTGTTATATGCAGAAATTGGGTGGCTACCATTGTCAAAACGAAGAGAAATCAGAAAACTGTCCCTCCTTTATACTATAAAACATGGCACTGCACCCTCATACTTATGTAATATCCTACCTCAAAATATTGGAGATCTGACTCATTTTAATTTAAGAAATTCTCAACAATTGCGGCAGCAACGGTATAGACTCCAAACTATGCGCAACTCTTTCTTTCCTTCAACTGTTGATCTTTGGAATAATTTAGACACAACCATAAGACACTCCCAAACTCTGAACTCGTTCAAATTAAATATACATAAGTTGAATAATGTAATATCTAAATGTAATCCATGCTTTCTAAATTTTGGTCCGCGTAGGCTAAATATTCTTCATTGTAGATTAAGAAACAGGGCAAGTACTCTCAATTATGATCTTTTTAGGACAAATCTTAATTTTTCAGCACAATGTGAATGTGGACACACGTGCGAGGACTCGTATCACTTCTTCTTCACATGCCCTAAATACCACATCCGACGCCTTTCCTTATTGCAGAATTTAGCATTGTATCCAGGAGATATGTCATTAGACCTAATTCTAAAGGGTGATATAGATTTAAATAATGAGGCAAACTCAAACATTGCAAGAACGGTACAAGTCTATATCGACGGTACTGGCAGGGTTTGACATTTTGAGCACCTTCACCTCTGTGTACTATAACTACGCCAGGCCACTTCACCTATGTGTACTATGTTAACCTAGTGTCCTATAACATAAGCTGACCAGTGACCATTTGACCGTTGATTTGTGGTGGTCCGATTTTATTTGGCTAAAGCGGTCAATGTCATTTTCCTGTTATGCATTGGGCATTCATATTACTTACGAACCGCATTTAAAAGCAGTTTAATGCCTAATGTACATATTATATACACAGATTAAACGTTTTAAAATATTCATTGGTTCGATAACGGAATTAAAACGAAGATAAACATGCGTGTACAACTTGTATATGTCCCGTCCCGTTTCTCGAGTAGCACTACATTTGCATGCATGTTGTTGTATTCGAAGAGAGATGTACCATCAGCTTATATATCAAAACACCTGTGATGACATAGCGTGGCGTTAATAATTCAGAATGAATTCCGTTGAATCGTTAAGCAAGTATGATATACGAACTTTTTACAGGTTAAATCTAATCACATATGAAAATAGCGTACACCATACACGTATGGACTTGTGTGATGGTAAATACTATGATATGAACCAGAGACAATTATAGTAACCTCGGCTTCGCCTCGCATATTTTGTCAGGTTCATTTCACTTCGTTTTCATCATTACAAAAGTCAGAAATGTCTGTATTACATTATATGCTTCAACCAAAAAGTAGACGAAATAAGGTTTTTTTATTGAGATGGTTGCGACGCGAGGTTTTCTAAATTTGTGTAATTTGTTAAACCAAGAAAAGCAATCAGGCTGACCAATGCAATGGGTGTGTTTTCAATACTGAATGGTTAAACAAAACCTTTTTAAAAACAACTCTATTTCTGGTCAAAATTTAGGGGATTCTTCGATTCTAAGCGTTACATGTTCTAAAAACCGAAGTTCACAGAAAAACCGGGTTCAATGGGTTTTGGAGAGATAGTCAAGCTCTACAACATCCCTCCGATGGAACTGCAACAAATTAATAACTACATACAATTGTGTACAAATATATTTATGCATTTAGAAATGTCCTGCGATCAATTTGGCCTGATCCTCTTGACGTGATCAGTTCTCAAAAATCAAGTTCATCGTTTCTACTGTGAACACCGTAACGTCACTTGTTGTAAGGATTCACGTTTGCCACTGACGACACAAACACTTAAGTATCTAAAATACATGGGAATATCTTTATATAGATCAAAAATACCTAAAAATTCCGAATGTAAATCTAGCGGCCTTCATGGAATATGTATGTCACCGATTTGCATTCATACCAGCATGAATTTGAAAAAGAAAAGATGCCATTCAATCCGTATGTGGTACGTACCTTTGATATTTGGTGATTTGGTTGTACAGATATATGTTTAAGGAGTATGGTGATAGATACTACATGATGATACGTACCTTTACGTTTCATGAGAGTGGCACTCCGGTATGTATCAGGCCTGTCAGAAAAGTCATCTGCCCGCTTTATAAATGCTTCTTTTAAAGCCTCAACACCGTTTATAACGACCAATAAATTTCGCCCTAAAGTGAGACTGAACACATCTCCAAATTTAACCCGCAGTTTCCGGAAAGTGTCCTTGGGATTCTTTTTTTCACGGAAAAGTAGCATACTTCCCACTATGGGATACCCGGTCGGTCCTGGCGGGACGTTTGCTGGCCATTGCAAGGACCGACTGACCATTAAAATCAGTAGTACAGCTACAATAGCCACGGTCCACCCATTGCAAGTAAACCAATCGAGCACCATTGTGGAAATGGAAGTATTAGAATGCTGTAGTCTGATGGCAGTGAGGTACGCTATAGTTTATATACATGATAAACACGCAGACCTGTACACAGTTTTTGACCCGTGCCGGGCCTGTAGCTATGTAGGTCGTTACCACCAAGATTATTACCTATAACCATTCGGCTGACACCGTCTTTATATATCGCGTGTGGCAGTGTACCTAGTTTTTGAACCAGCTTGAATATGTTTACGTTATTCATCAGATATGCGTTAACTATTAACTGCATACGCATACGATTCGCTTTTAGACTTGTACTATGATATTCGTTTTCCGGAGAGTAAATTGTCAATGTGTATGATTTACATTTAAACTTGCTAATAAAACACAGCCTTTGTGTGGGATGTAAAGTTGTAGATACGCAATGTTGTGTTTAAACAATAGTCCTGGATAATAATAAAATACTCCAAAGTAACTACATATTGTCAACACATGTACAGACATACAACGGCCTGACGTGCCCGTCATTAGCGATCCCACGGAATTAGATTAGGTTATCTAAGTCCGTGGCGATCCATAGTATGTTTTGTTTATAATAACTCAAAATTTGATACCCACAAAAAGATAGCATATATCGGAGGGATATAAATATAAATTTAAATTAAAGATCGTAAAATGATATAGAGATTCATTGTATATCGATACCTATCGTATATATTGAAATGAAATAGAGAATGTATTAATAGAACAGCTATTCAACTGTTATTTACTGGTTTAAACGTCTCTGCTTAACATGAATTTAAGGTATCTTCAAATAGGTTATATCTATTTCTAAATATAAACATTTTAGTATCGTAATGAAATTCCATGTTCCTGTATATTTGGTGCAGCCTATAGCAGCAATACACGAACGCGCATCTACGTGTATGTAAAATATCTTATTATGTAACTTATCATGTGTTCTTAACTCAATTAAGTAACGACTTTACATGTTGTTTACACACCAATGGTGTAATTTTGATTAATTCCATGGCTGGGTTGGTTTAATAAATGTTTTCTCATTGCCAACACTATACAGAGGAAGGTTCAAGTTCTTTATTTGCTGAAGTTTTACAACTTATGGCAATTACAGATAAGACAAAGACACTCACAAGGACACACTCACACTGACTCGCACACATCATCCTCGTCATCATCAAGGACACTCACACTAACTCGCACACATCATCATCATCATCATTATTTCATTACATCATTACATCATCTTCATCATCATCATATCAGCAACAGCAGCAGCAATATTTCGTCATTCATCATACTCACATTCCAACTACACACGCCAGAACCTTTTTCATCCTCATTCACCCAGACAAGACAATATAATGGTATATCATGTATCTTAACATAAATCTGCTCTACGTTTAAACGCTAGTGATAAATACTTTCCTAAATTATTAAGTTCTTTTGTGTTTTCGGTTTTGAGTAATTGAACGAATTCAAACATACTAGGCCTTTTGAAATAATATTGCTTCATGAATTTAGACTGGAGGTCTGAAGAGCGATTACATTTAATTATGAAATGAAATTCATCTTCTATATTTTCTTCATTACATAAAAATACATTTTCTTTCTCCTAGGTATATCTCTGTAACGGCCACGTTCAACTTCTTCAATCTCAACATTATTATAAAACCATTTTTCTTTTGCTCTTATCAAACCACCATTTCTAAAAATAACTATTTTTGTTTTATCTACATTTAAAGTTAAGTTCCATTTTCTACAATAATCTGATAGTGAATCTAACATTTTCTGCAAGTCTTCTGGTGTTTCCGATAATATGACCATGTCGTCTGCATACATAAGTAAAAATAAATTAATAGTTTGAATTTCTAGTGATAAGCAATTTTTTTTATATAAAATCCACTTCTAAATCATTAACAAATAATGTAAACAACAAGGGAGATAATATTTCCCCTTGGAATAAACCACAATCACATTTGAAAAAATCAGTAACACCTTTGAATTTAACACAACATTTTACATTGGCATAGAGACATCTTATTATTTTCTATACCTTCCTTAATCATTTTATACCAAAGATTTTGTCGACTAACATTATAAAACAGCAGTAAAGCCTGTTTCGTTTTCTGAGAGTTCTATTAATTAATGATTGTAGTACGAGAATAGCATCTATTGTGGAAAGTTTTTTTCTAAATCCAAATTGTACATCTGTGATAATATTATGCATTTTATCAACATTAAGTAATCTTTCATTTAAAATGGCAGTGAAATGTTTTGCAAGACAGCTTACTAATGTAATACCTCTATAATTATCAGTTACATTCGCATCCCCTTTCTTAAATAGTGGTATAATTGTTCCAATATTCCAATTATCTGGGAAAATTCCAGAACTAATTATTCCATTAAAAAACAATTTTGGACATGGTGCCAAATTGTCAATGTATCTTTACAAGTAACAAAATAAAGTGATAAAAGTGACGAAGAAAAATCTTCGACACTTTTATTAACACTATCCTAATACATATCCATATTTTCTACATGTATGCATTAGGCTATCGGCATAATCATTGATTATTGTTTTAATTAACTCAAAATTTTCCTGATTCTATCGCGTTGAATAAAACAGCTCATTATTACCATGTATATTTTCTTTTATAATCTTAATATCTACCGTAAACACAAAAGGCGAATGGTCTGAAAAATGATTGAAATCTCCGCTTTTAAAATTTCCTATAATTTCGAAATTTGACTCATCAACAAGAACATAATCGATTAAACTTGTTCCCAAACTATTATAAAGTTAACACTGCCCTTATCGTCGCCCGGATGTCGCCAATTTTCGATTATCAAACCACTCGCTTTACATAAATTCAAAAGTTTTCTTCTCATTGTGTTTACAATTGTATCTGTACTTTTTTTATTTCAGTAACATTAATATCAGCTAGGTAATTAAAAACATTTGATAAAACATGGAAAGGTAAACATTTAGTGAATTACACAACCCTTAATGAAATAGCACGCTCTTAGTTCAATAACACATCATTTACGTAATAACTTAGTCTATAGTTTAATAACTTAAATTGATTGCATCAAAACATATTTTTTTCATTAGTGATTTCAGAATTGCGTACAATCTCACCAACAGAACGTATGGTATCCCTGCTCTCTGACTAACATCAACATTGTATGAAGAGTCTACATTATTGTCAGTTGATTTTCACGGCCTTGACTTTATAGTCAGGCGGACCTGATTGTATGCCTTTGGATGGTGGGCCAGCTGGCATTTTGTCCGGGTTTTCCGGAAGTAGTTCGAATCTCTGTATCAGTGTTGTCAGAAACAGAAACAGTTCCAGCCTCGCCAGTGATTCACCCAGACATATTCGACGTCCTGAAAGTATAACGTGGACAATAGCTTTAATGGTGTATTAACAAACACAGCTACCAGACATTTAAGACGTTGGGCTTCTTTATTCTGAAATAATTATCTCCCCTTTATTTTTTTTATTTTCATTATCATGATATCAAGGTGATGCGGATCTAATATTCCTGCTATGCTGGCTAAAAATTTTACTTGCACAATTGAGAGAACATCGTTGATGATTAAATTTATTAATTAAACAATATAGTTGTTTCCGGTTGCGTTGCGGATCGAACTTGTATATTGCTCGTAGGTAATACTTTGCCGGCATTTTTGACTAGTTCTTTCCATCGTGAAACAACTCGTCAATGGGTTTTTATTTTTCAACTGGTAAGTGTAGTTTCTTCCCAATAATAAAACAAAATCACTCGTCACAACTCGACAGAGTCCGTACCTTGAAGGGTACTGGATCACCCGAGATTAGCCGAATGAAAACAAAGTGTTGTTTTTAAAAGGACAAGGGAGGTAATTATATATTGCTGAATGTTTGGAGGATTAGTAACATAACAATACACTGTATTATACGATACACGTGGGGTGCATGACATCCCAATCTTACCCGGTCCTATGGGATCTGAGAAATCAAATACAGCGAGTATGTTTCTATCTCAGGGACCTGCTAATTTATTACAGCTATATATGGACCTAAACTGAGGTGTTCAGACAAGTTTCATACGTTTATAATGTAAGTGGATTTGAACAATTTTCGGTAAAAATTGGAGGTGTCTTTTTTAAACGAAAATTGATCTAAATCCCTTGACGTGTAAAATTACTCTGAACATAGTTGTTCAAGTCCAAGTATAGCTGTAACAAATCCACAGATCCCTGTGGTTTTTACCTAACCTGATGTGAGGAGGAAAAGGGGAAATATTGGATGTTTTAAGGGTTTACATCCTCACACAGTAGATTTAACCGAGTGTTTATCTAAACCCTCAAACAGTCAATTACACGACTAAGATATCAGAACGGGTCCAAATATATTCGTCGTAAATTGGTTCACAAATTTCTTTTGCCGAAATAGAGTACGGTCAAAACAAGCAACTTACCTAGAGAAAACGCAAACACATATTTTTCTTTTCCGTTCAATTTTCCGTCTTCGCCTAAAAATCGGTCTGGATTAAACTTTGTGGGTTCCTTGAACACGTTTGGGTCGAAATGAACTGAGTCCAAATTGGGTATAATTGTCGATCCTTTGGGAATGGTCATCCCCCTGAATTCTACGTCCTTTGATGCCCCGTGAGGGACGCTGAACGGGGCAATGTTTCCGAATCTTAGGGCCTCTGTAATCACTGCTTTGTAATAAGGCATATTTTCTTTGTCGCTGAGCGTCGGAAACCTGGACGGACCAATCACATTTTCGATCTCTCTGCGAAGTCTGTCCTGGATGTCCGTATGGTAGATCAGCTGTAGAATTGTCCAGCGTATCGTCGTGGCGGTGGTCTCCGTCCCAGCCACAAATAAATTGGAGATTGTAGCTTGTAAATTAAAATCTGTAAATTAGAAAATAATTTGTTTTAAAGCAAAAAGCAATTGAGCTACGAATAAAAAAAATCATCGAATGTAGATGCTATAAGTATCAAATCAATATTACCATTTACATAGTTATGCTATCATTAAATGTTAATATCACTATACCACGACGCATCGGACTGAAGGATCTTTTTCCAAATATGCAATAGTATGGTGGCATATTTCTGCCATCCACTTGCGACTTACGAGTTACGTATGTCGACATAATTATTGAAAGATGTCGACATAATCTGAGAATATGTCGACATAATCTGAGAAGATGTCGACATAACTGTTAAATTATGTCGACATATTATCACATTTGCCGAGATAAGTTTGCCGAGATAATTATCTCGTAAGTGGGTAACTCGGCTTTTTATCGTGTTAATGCTCGGGTGTGACATCGACTTACGACTTGCCACTTACGACTTATTTATGTAAAATCCCTCTTTGATTGATAAACTCTGTACATCATAGTAACCTACTGTAATATCCATATCTTTGATTTCCCATATTTACATTGATTTTACCAAGTTACTCACCAGTATAGTCACCACTGTTCAGTCACCATCAGCCCACCTTCGCGGTCCTCGTGCACAAGCCTCGTTTTGGTAAGTCGGCAATAATCTACTAGGATGTCGACATAAATAAGTCGTAAGTGGCAAGTCGTAAGTGGCAAGTCGATGTCACACCCGAGCATTAACACGATAAAAAGCCGAGTTACCCACTTACGAGATAATTATCTCGGCAAAATTATCTCGGCAAATGTGATAATATGTCGACATAATTTAAAAGTTATGTCGACATCTTCTCAGATTATGTCGACATATTCTCAGATTATGTCGACATCTTTCAATAATTATGTCGACATACGTAACTCGTAAGTCGCAAGTGGATGGCAGAAATATGCCATAGTACAATAGAGATTTGGAAAATATAATGAACATATCTATTATATTGGACTAACGTGGTACAAGTGGTCAGGTAAGCTAGAATTCATCTGTTACTTGGAGGCCATTGATATTGGTTTGGTTTGTTTGTGTTTCACGTCCTATTAACAGCTATGGTCATTTAAGGACATGCTAGGTTTTCGTGGTGGAGGAAAGCCGACTGATATTTTCTGACTTATTTAAAATCCAAGATGACCGTCTTGGCATCTGATTGGCTGAAACATCTCGTGACATTACTATACCTCTTTTAAGATTGTTTTCCTAGTCTAAATATACAAAGGATAAAATTAAGAACACATACCTTCAAAAACTGCACTACCAGGTTCTTGTCTTTCCTGCTCCTTGAGAAAAGCGTCGATAAAATCCCTTGGATTGCTTGGATCAAAAGTGTTTCTATGATCAGTAATTTGCTGTTGCATATAATCCGATATTTCATAGAAATTATCACGATTTCTTTTGATCTTGAAGAAATCACCGGGCAGGAATCTCAGCCACGACATATTCCGAGCAGCACTCCTAGTTTGGTTCAAACGAAATGCTTCTTCTAGGAGATCAACAAGTTGATAGAACTTGGCATCACTGTGCTCGAATCTTTTACCAAAAACTATGCTGCAGATAATATTTGAAATACTTATTTGAATTACGTGCTTCGGGTCGTAAACTTTCCCGCTGTTGTTTCCCATCACATCTAGAAACGCGTAAACTTCTTCCATGACACGCGCTTCCAAAGACTTCTTTCCAAATCCGAATTCGCGCAAGGTGGTCAAGGCGAAAGTTCGAGTGTGTTTCCAGTGCTGTCCGGATGACATGGCTACCCCTGAAAATTTAAACATAACTTCTGTCATGAAAGTATGGCTAATATATATCTCTGACGGCACAAGAGTCACAAAAACGTTTGTATATTCTACAGTTCAGTGAAGGAAAGCTTGGAACTAGCACGCTTTGACTATTTTCTCGCGATCATTTGTACGTTTTGTGTTCCAGTACTGAATAAAATATATTTTTACATATTATACTATTATGTAGGGGCGAATCCAGACGTAGAAAGATTCACTTCATCTCAACTTCAACTAGGAATCTGTAGCCTAGTTACAGTGACTACCTCTGTTCACCTCTTCCCTCTATGTACTATGGCTACCTAATGTCTCATCTCCCCTATATGTGCTGTGACTACCCAGGCCACATCTCCGCCTCTATGTACTTAAGATACCTCAGGCCACATCTCTCCGCTATGTACTGTGGCCACCTCAGGTCACCTCTCCCCTCTATGTACTGTTACTACCTCAGGTCAACTCTCCCCTCTATGTACTGTGGCTACCTCATGTCACCTCTATGTACTTTGGATACATCAGGTAACCTCTCCCCTCTATGTACAGTGGCTACCTTAAGTCAATTACCCCCTCTATGAACTGCGACTACCTCAGATCCCCTCATCCCTCTATGTGCTTTGGATACATCAGGTCTCCTCTCCCCTCTATGTAATTTGGATACATCAGGTCTCCTCTCCCCTCTATGTACTAAGTCAACTATCCCCTCTATGAACTGCGCCTACCTCAGATCACCTCTCCCCTCTTTGTACTGTGACTACCTTGTGACTACCTCAGTTCACCTCTCCTCTATGTTCTGTGACTACCTCAGGTCACCTCTACCCTCTATGTACTGTTACTGCCTCAGGTCACCTCTCCCTTTTATGTACTGTGACTACCTCAAGTCAACTCTCCCCTCTATGTACTATGACTACCTAATTTCTCATCTCCCCTATATGTACTGTGACTACCCAGGCCACATCTCTCCGCTATGTACTGTGGCCACCTCTCCTCAATGTAATGTGGCTACCTTTGGTCACCTCTCCCTCAATGAAATGTGGCTACCTCAGGTCACCTCTTTCCGCTATGTACTGTGGCTACCTCATGTCACATGTACTGTGACTACCTCAGATCACCTCTCTCCTCTATGTACTGTTACCACCTCAGGTCACCTCTCCCCTCTATGTACTTTGGATACATCAGGTCACCTCTCCCCTCTATGTACTTTGGATACATCACGTCACCTCTCCCCTCTATGTACTGTGGCTGCCTCAGGTCACCTCTCCTCAATGTAATGTGGCTACCTTAGGTCACCTCTCCCTCAATGTAATGTGGCTACCTCAGGTCACCTCTCCCCTCTATGTACTTTGGATACATCAGGTAACCTCTCCCCTCTATGTACTTTGGATACATCAGGTCCCCTCTCCCCTCTATGTACTGTGACTACCACAGGTCACCTCTCCCCTCTATGTACTTTGGATACATCAGGTCCCCTCTCCCCTCTATGTACTGTGGCTACCTCAGGTCACCTCTCCTCAATGTAATGTGGCTACCTCAGGTCACCTCTCCCCTCTATGTACTGTGACTACCTCAGATCAACTCTCCCCTCTATGTACTGTGACTACCTCAGGTCACATCCCCTCTATGTAATGCGACTACCTCAGATCACCTCTCCCCTCTATGTACTGTGACTACCTCAGTTCACATCCCCTCTATGTACTTTGACTACCTCAGTTCACATCTCCTCTATGTTCTGTGACTACCTCAGGTCACCTCTCTTCTCTATGTACTGTTACTACCTCAGGTCACCTCTCCCCTCTATGTACTGTGACTACCACAGGTCAGCTCTCCCCTCTATGTACTATGACTACCTCAGGTCACATCCCCTCTATGTAATGCGACTACCTCAGATCACCTCTCCCCTCTATGTACTGTGACTACCACAGGTGAGCTCTCCCCTCTATGTACTATGACTACCTCAGGTCACCTCTCCCCTCTATGTACTATGACCTCCTCATGTCACCTCTCTCCTCTATTTACTGTTACTACCTCTGTGTACCTCTTCCCTCTATGTACTGTTACTACCTCAGGTCACCTCTCCCCTCTTTTTACTGTGATTACCTCAGGTCACCTCTTTCCGCTATGTACTGTGGCTACCTCATGTCACCTCATCCCTCTATGTACTGTGACTACCTCAGATCACCTCTCCCCTCTTTGTACTGTGACTACCTCAGGTCACCTGTCCCCTCTTTGTACTGTGACTACCACTGTGTACCTCTCCCCTCTAGTTACTATGACTACCTCAGGTCACCTCTCCCTTTTATGTACTGTGACTACCTCAGGTCAACTCTCCCCTCTATGTACTGTGACTACCTCAGGTCACCTCTACCCTCTATGTACTGTTACTGCCTCAGGTCACCTCTCCCCTCTATGTACTATGACTACCTTATGTCACCTCATCCCTCCATGTACTGTGACTACCTCAGGTCACATCTCCCCTCTTTGTACTGTGACTACGTCAGGTCCCCTCTCCCCTCAATGTTACCTTGATCGCGATTACAGAAATTCTGAGTCAATCTTCCAATTATTACTAAGTTTATGAATCTATAGTGTACATCAATAGCAATACTACTTGTATTATACACACAGACACAGACAGACACACACACACACATACACTGTACTGTGACTACCTCAGGTCACCTCTCCCCTCTATGTACTGCGACTACCTCTGTGTACCTCTCTCCTCTATGTACTGTGACTACCTCAAGTCAACTCTCCCCTCTATGTACTGTGACTACCTCAGGTCACCTCTACCCTCTATGTACTGTTACTGCCTCAGGTCACCTCTCCCCTCTATGTACTATGACTACCACAGGTCAGCTCTCCCCTCTATGTACTGTTACTACCTCAGGTCAACTCTCCCCTCTATGTACTGTAACTACCTCAGGTCACCTCTCCCATCTATGTACAGTGACTACCTCTGTGTACCTCTCTCCTCTATGTACTGTGACTACCTCAGATCAACTCTCCCCTCTATGTACTGTGACTACCTCAGGTCACCTCTCCCCTCTATGTACTGTTATTGCTTCATGTCACCTCTCCTCTATATGAACTATGACTACCTCATGTCACCTCATCCCTCTATGTACTGTGACTACCTCATGTCACCTCTCCCCTCTATGTACTATGACTACCTCAGGTCACCTCATCCCTCTATGTACTGTGGCTACCTTATGTCACCTCATCCCTCTATGTACTGTGACTACCTCATGTCACCTCATCCCTCTATGTACTGTGACTACCTCAGGTCACCTCTCCCCTCTTTGTACTGTGACTACCTCAGGTTCCCTCTCCCCCTAATGTTACCTTGATCGCGATTACATAAATGCTGAGTCAATCTTCCAATTATTACTAAGTTTATGAATCTATAGTGTACATCAATAGCAATACTACTTGTATTATACAGACAGACACAGACAGACAGACACACAGACACACACACACACATACACAGAAGTATAAGTAATAATTACTTTTCAGTGAAGGCATCCTTTTCTTTGCATTCGAAATGATACATGAAATACATATGGAAGGCGTTTATCGATAACATTCGCTTTTAGCCAAAGAATGCTTTTCTTTCCTTAACGGCAGAATGCTAAGGTATACATGGTTACAAAACCTACCTATTACATACGTATTTGGAGAGTGATCTCACATGACAAGCATACCGAACACAGAGGGTAACATTAACATGTATGTATAAGATACATCATAGACATAGCAGTACAAGAACAATTAACTTAAGTTAAATTTAATTATTATACCTCTACTTTATTTACTCTATATAAAAGTAATTGGTTAAATCGAATATATCCCCACTTTTGCCTGACTGTGTTTTAGTCCTGTGTGTTAGTCTGGGAACTAAAACACACCTACACTTGGGTGTTTCCGCCGAGCCAATAAGACGAGAGGTGGGCGGAGCTTGTAACCAAACTCGGAAGCGACGTGCGAAGAGCTTGCTACCGAACTCGGAAGCATTTGGCTCCACTGCCATCAAAGGGATAGTTGGGACGTGAAGCTATACAGCTTATGGTTTACAAATATTTTCTAGTTAAAACTATCTCTCCAGTGTGTATCGGTATAATAAAACGGTTAAAGTATGGGGTTGGGGGAAATCGGGAAATAAACCTGGTCTCGGGACACCAGAAACTTGCTATATCCCTCAACCCCATACTTTAACTGTATACTAACACACACACACACTGACAGAGATGCGCCAATGTTACCTTGAATGGGATTAGATTAGTGCTGAGTCAATCTACCACTTATGTACCACTTATTGCTTAAGTTTAATAATAAATATATGTTGTACAACATCAGCAATAATACTTATATTATACAGACAGACAGAAGTAAAAGTAATAATTCGTTTTCAACGATGACATGCTTTTCTTTGAATTCGAAATATACCTGAAATACATATGTGAGGTGTATAACGATCATATTCACCATCACCCTATACTTCCAAACACCTGTGATGACAAAGCGTGGCATTAATATTTCAGAATGCATTCCGTTGAATCGTTGAGCAAGTATAATATACAAAGGTTTTACACTCTAAATCTAATTACATATGAAAATAGCGTACAACATACACGTATGGAATTGTGTGATGGTAAATACTATGAAATGAACCCGAGACAAATATTAACATCGGCTTCGCCTCGCATATTTTTTTCATGTTCATTTCACTTCGTATTCATCATTATAAAAGTCATAATTGTTTTTTTGTATTTATCTGCTTTGTTTAACTTGCTAAACCAAGAAAAGCAATCAGGCTGACCAATGCAATGGATTTGTTTTCAATACTGAATGGTTAAACAAAACCTTTATAAAAAACAACTCTATTTCTGGACAAAATTTAGGGGATTCTTCGATTCTAAGCGTTACATGTGCTAAAAACCGAAGTTCACAGGAAAACCGGGTTCACTGGGTTTTGGAGAGATAGTCAAGCTGTACAACATCCCTCCGATGGAACTGCAACAAATTATCAACTACATACAATTGTGTACAAATATATTTATACATTTAGAAATGTCCTGCGATCAATTTGGCCTGATCGTCTTGACGTGATCAGTTCTCAAAAATCAAGTTCATCGTTTCTCCTGTGAACACCGTAACGTCACTTGTTCTAAGGATTCACGTTTGCACTGACGACACAAACACGTAAGTATCTAAAATACATGGGAATATCTTTACATAGGTCAATTCTAACTAAAAATTCCGAATGTAAATCTAGCGGCCTTCATGGAATATGTCACCGATTTGCATTCATACCAGCATGAATTTGAAAAACAATGCCATTCAATCCTTATGTGGTACGTACCTTTGATATTTGGTGATTTGGTTGTACAGATATATGTTTAAGGAGTATGGTGATAGATACTACATGATGATACGTACCTTTACGTTTCATGAGAGTGGCACTCCGGTATGTATCAGGCCTGTCAGAAAAGTCATCTGCCCGCTTTATAAATGCTTCTTTTAAAGCATCAACACCGTTTATAACGACCAATAAATTTCGCCCTAAAGTGAGGCTGAACACATCTCCAAATTTAACCCGCAGTTGCCGGAAAGTCTCCTTGGGTTTCTTTTTTCCACTGAGAAGCAAAATACTTCCCACTATGGGATACCCGGTCGGTCCTGGCGGGACGTTTGCTGGCCATTGCAAGGACCGACTGACCATTAGAATCAGTAGTACAGCTACAATAGCCACGGTCCACCCATTCCAAGTAAACCAATCAAGCACCATTGTGGAAATGGAAGTATTAGAATGCTGTATTCTGATGGCAGTGAGGTACGCTATGGTTTATATACATGATAAACACGCAGACCTGTACACAGTTTTTGACCCGTGCCGGGCCTGCAGCTATGTAGGTCGTTACCGCCAAGATTATTACCTATAATCATTCGGCTGACACCGTCTTTGTATATCGCGTGTGGCAGTGTACCTAGTTTTTGAACCAGCCTGAATATGTTTACGTTATTCATCGGATATGCGTAAACTATCAACAGCATACGCATACGATTCGCTTTTAGACTTGTACTATAATATTCGTTTTCCGAAGAGTAAATTGTCAATGTGTATGATTTACATTTAAACTTGCTAATAAAGCACAGCCTTTGTGTGGGATTTAAAGTTGTAGATACGCAAGGTTGTGTTTAAACAATAGTCCTGGATGACAATAAAATACTCCAGAGTAACAACATATTGTCAACACATGTACAGACATACAACGGCCTGACGTGCACGTCATTAGCGATCCCACGGAATTAGATTAGGTTATCTAAGTCCGTGGCGATCCATAGTATGTTTTGTTTATAATAACTCAAAATGAAATATCCACAAAAAGAAAGCAAATATCGGAGGGATATCGATATAAATTTAAATTAAATAAAGATCGTAAAATGATATATAGATTCATGGTATATAGATACCTATCGTATATATTGAAATGAAATAAAGAATGTATTAATAGAACAGCTATTCAACTGTTATTTACTGGTTTTATACGTCTCTACTTAACATGAAATCAAGGTATCTTCAAATAGGTTATATCTATTTCTAAATATAAACATTTAAGTATCGTAATGAATTTCCATGTTCCTGTATATTTGGTGCAGCCTATAGCAGCAATACACGAACGCGCATGTACGTGTATGTAAAATATCTTATTATGTAACTATACTGTAACGAGACGATCCACAACTCGTTGTTCTTAACTTGGTTAAGTAACGATGTTATATGTTGTTTACACACCAATGGTGTTATTTTGATTAATTGTATGGCTGGGTTGGTTCAATAAATGTTTTCTCATTGCCAACACTATACAGAATGCGGTCAAATTGTTCCACTCTAGTTACTTCACTACGTAGATAGATAAACAGGACGGGTCAAAAACCGTGTACACATGACAGTGGGCAAAGGTGTATGCATCTTTCTGTTACTGCATTAATTAATCCACTTTCTACTCAATCTCCGAATACCCTCTAAGGTTCTACGTTACTTATAAATGTACTATAACCATTGATCTACTACTATAACCATTGATCTACTACTATAACCATTGATCTACCGCTACAACCATTGATCTACTACTACAACCATTGATCTACTATTACACCCATTGATCTGCTACTACACCCATTGATCTACTACTACAACCATTGATCTACTATTACACCCATTGATCTGCTACAACCATTGATCTACTATTACAGCCATCAATCTATCAAAACAACCATTGATCTATCACTACAACCATTGATCTACTACTACACCCATTGATCTACTACAACCATTGGTCTTATACTACAACCATTGATCTACTACTACACCAATTGATCTACTACAACCATTGGTCTTATACTAAACCCATTTATATAATTCTACAACCATTGATCTACTACTACAGCCATTAATCTATCAAAACAACCATTGATCTAATACTACAACCATTGATCTATCACTACAACCATTGATCTACTACTACATCCATTGATCTACTACCACAACCATTGATCTACTACTACAACCATTGATCTACTACTACAACCATTGATCTACTACTACAACCATTGATCTACTACTACAACCATTGATCTACTACTACACCCATTGATCTAATACCACAACCATTGATCTACTACTACAACCATTGATCTACTACTACACCCATTGATCTAATACCACAACCATTGATCTACTACTACAACCATTGATCTACTACTTCAACCATTGATCTACTACAAGAACCATTGATCTTCTACTTCAACCATTGATCTACTACAACAACCATTGATCTACTACTTCAACCATTGATCTACTACTACAACCATTGATCTACTACTACAACCATTGATCTACTACTACAACCATTGATCTACTACTACAACCATTGATCTACTACTACAACCATTGATCTACTACTACAACCATTGATCTACTACTACAACCATTGATCTACTACTACAACCATTGATCTACTACTACAACCATTGATCTACTACTACAACCATTGATCTACTACTACAACCATTGATCTACTACTACAACCATTGATCTACTACTACAACCATTGATCTACTACTACAACCATTGATCTACTACTACAACCATTGATCTACTACTACAACCATTGATCTACTACTACAACCATTGATCTACTACTACAACCATTGATCTACTACTACAACCATTGATCTACTACTACAACCATTGATCTACTACTACAACCATTGATCTACTACTACAACCATTGATCTACTACTACAACCATTGATCTACTACTACAACCATTGATCTACTACTACAACCATTGATCTACTACTACAACCATTGATCTACTACTACAACCATTGATCTACTACTACAACCATTGATCTACTACTACAACCATTGATCTACTACTACAACCATTGATCTACTACTACAACCATTGATCTACTACTACAACCATTGATCTACTACTACAACCATTGATCTACTACTACAACCATTGATCTACTACTACAACCATTGATCTACTACTACAACCATTGATCTACTACTACAACCATTGATCTACTACTACAACCATTGATCTACTACTACAACCATTGATCTACTACTACAACCATTGATCTACTACTACAACCATTGATCTACTACTACAACCATTGATCTACTACTACAACCATTGATCTACTACTACAACCATTGATCTACTACTACAACCATTGATCTACTACTACAACCATTGATCTACTACTACAACCATTGATCTACTACTACAACCATTGATCTACTACTACAACCATTGATCTACTACTACAACCATTGATCTACTACTACAACCATTGATCTACTACTACAACCATTGATCTACTACTACAACCATTGATCTACTACTACAACCATTGATCTACTACTACAACCATTGATCTACTACTACAACCATTGATCTACTACTACAACCATTGATCTACTACTACAACCATTGATCTACTACTACAACCATTGATCTACTACTACAACCATTGATCTACTACTACAACCATTGATCTACTACTACAACCATTGATCTACTACTACAACCATTGATCTACTACTACAACCATTGATCTACTACTACAACCATTGATCTACTACTACAACCATTGATCTACTACTACAACCATTGATCTACTACTACAACCATTGATCTACTACTACAACCATTGATCTACTACTACAACCATTGATCTACTACTACAACCATTGATCTACTACTACAACCATTGATCTACTACTACAACCATTGATCTACTACTACAACCATTGATCTACTACTACAACCATTGATCTACTACTACAACCATTGATCTACTACTACAACCATTGATCTACTACTACAACCATTGATCTACTACTACAACCATTGATCTACTACTACAACCATTGATCTACTACTACAACCATTGATCTACTACTACAACCATTGATCTACTACTACAACCATTGATCTACTACTACAACCATTGATCTACTACTACAACCATTGATCTACTACTACAACCATTGATCTACTACTACAACCATTGATCTACTACGACAACCATTGATCTACTACTACAACCATTGATCTAGTACTACAACCATTGATCTACTACTACACCCATTGATATATTACTAAACCATTAATGTATTACCAAAACCATTTATTTACTGCTTTAAATATTATTGTTCCTCTTCACCATTGAACTTTTATTACAACCATTGAAATACCACTCTACTTGTTGATTTAGTACTACACCCATTTATTTATTATTACAACCATTAATCTTATTCTACTCCGACATAATATGCACTATCATATAGGGAAAACATACACACAATTAACTATATGTGAGGTTATACACGGATTTTTATTTCGTTTGGGTGTTTAAAACAAAATATACTATTGAATAAGTTTGAGAGACTATCTATACACAACCCCATGTTCATTGCGTAATGTTAGAAGATACGTTTTATGATAAAAAATAGCATTTATAAAATTATTAGCTTATCACCATATCTTGTATCCACAAACATCAGATGATTGGTTCATATAGTAATACCAGTGGCTTAGCTACAGGACGGGTCAAAAACTGTGTACATATTTTTGGGGTCAAAAACTGAGCATGTATTTTGGGGTCAAAAACTGAGCACATATTTTGAGGTCAAAAACTCGGACTAAGACTAAGAAATATTCTCATATTGCAAAACAAGTACAGCTTCTTTGATGTTTGATGTTCTCATGTTTTCACCATTTGCTGAGTCTGATGATGGTTACTGATTTTCTGTCTTTGTAATAAATCCTATTTAAATACATTTATTTACATTTCACATTTAAAATTATCGCATCAAATACGTGCAGTTCTAAAGCACGCCTAACAGGTTGCTCCAGCAGTTCATCAGTTGCATGCATTATTTGTCCGTCATGCTTAATTTGAATTATTATAATTGAAATATGAGTATTCGATATACATTATGTATGATTTACTACAAACATTGATTTACTACTACAACCTTTGATCTGCTACAACACACATTGATCTACTGTTACAACCATTGATCTACTACCACAACCATTGATCTATCACTAAAACCATTGATCTACCACTACAACCATTGATCTACAACTACAACCATTGATCTACTACTACAACCATTGATCTACAACTACAACCATTGATCTACTACTACAACCATTGATCTACTACTACAACCATTGATCTACTACTACAACCATTGATCTACAACTACAACCATTGATCCACAACTACAACCATTGATCTACCGCTACAACCATTGATTTATTACTTCAACCATTTATCTACTACTA